CATTGGAAAAATCAAGATTTTAATGAATGCATAAATTTAGATTTACATAAATTCAGATCAGTTGAATATCATAGAAACAACATATAAAATGTGGGAATTTAGGAGAAGTTATATAAATTAACTAGTTTGGAACAAACCAACAAATAAAAGAATAAATGCCCAAGCAATGTAAAAACACCAAATATATAAACGTGTATTATGTATAAATAAAAAGATAAATATTAACGAAACTTATAGCAAATCCTCCAATTTATAGAGTAGCCTCAGTCCTCAGGGAAGACACTGCATCACTGTTTGAAGACAGCTCTGCATCACTGTTTCTTACTCCCAAAAATGTTTTGCACAGTCTGCTTTTCTTGGTCAACATGGTTTGATTTTAATTACTTATTTATGATATTAAATTATTAATTGTTTATTATTCCTCAAACCCATTGGCCTTTTGTCAACTTTCCTTTTTTGTTTGTGCCAAAAACTTTGTTACTTTCCCTTTAATAAATAATTTGTAGTTCGACCTTTCTCTCCTCTGCCCAACTCTCAACCTCACAATTAGGGGTGGGCACGGTCCGGGTCGATCCGGGTTATTGATAATTTTTTTAGAATTGCTAGTTCCATTGAACGGGTAGGTTTGGTCTGGGTACATCACGTCTCAAAATAGGAACCAGACCTTACCCGCCCTGTTTGAAACAGGTCAGGTCAGGTCAGGTCGGGTCGGGTTCTCAATTCTTAAAAACATAGCGCTACACTAACAAAATGTCTAGTAGATAATAAAATTCACAAACTAATTAAGTATCAATGTCACCATAACATAGTAAAAATTCAAAATAAAAATATAATACTTCGTACCAAACTTTGAAATGTAAAAAATAAGACATTATCATTCATAAAAAAAAGATAGCACCACAAAATTATAAGAAATTAGACTAGTCATTATACATACGTAGTATATGTTTAAGAAAACAATTTAAAACTTAATAAATCTCAAAATGTAAGTAATATTAAGATAATTAAATTATTATGTCATACTTTATTGAACAAGAGACTTTGTTTTAAAAAAATTGATGCATTTAGAATAAAGAGTTGAGCACATTAATTTAGAAGTTTATATGGATTTAGAAACTCTTTTCAATAAATCATGAATATAATTTTTTTTGAGTGTTGTTAGTATATTATATTACATATAATAGACTTTAAAAAAATTAAAACGGGTCAGTCCAGACTCTGGGTAGCGGTTTGTTCAAATTCTAATACATGTACGGTTCCTAAATTTTTCAGACCGTAATCTGCTCCATATCCGTATTACCCGGCCAGATCCACGGTTCATGTACCTGTTTGTCCGCCCCTACTCACAATTATCACTTTTGTTATTTCACATACAATACAAACTTGACAATGTCCAATGGGATGGAGGGAATATATTGGGGTTATTACCCTAAATAAGACTAAATTGTTGCTTAAATTCCAAAATAGGAGTAGATATATTTTTATTCCATAGGATTTTTATTCCATATTTTCCCTTCCAAGTATAAATAATTGCCCCTAATTCCCTTGCAAAAGTGACGGGATCAGTAGGGTGGCGGCGGGAAGTCTAGCAGTGGAGGTGGCGGCGGGAAGTCTAGCAGTGGAGGTGGCGGCGGAGTTCCAACAGCTGTCTGCGGCGGCAATCCAAACCTGCGGCGGCGAAAGCCGGATCTTCAACGGCAGCGGCGGCCGGATCTGCAGCAACGACAGCTAGATCTGTGGCGGCAGTAGGGTTTGCCAAGCTTCAAGGGTATTTCTGTCTAACTACAAATAATAAATTTTATGTAGGGAATTTTTACACCTATTTTGACAATTAAAGATTTATTTTACTCCGTCAGCTTTATAAAATTTTCAATATTATTTATGAATATGTAAATGAAATCAATTAACTGTCTTAATGATTTAATTTTATAATTAGTTGACTTTAATGAGAGTATATTGCAAATCAATTTGGGAGGTAGTAACTGATGTCATAACCATCCACCCACCCAAATGCTACACTTTAATGTGGAAAGCTGGAAGCAACAACCAATTTAGTGAAAAAGAAAATTATACAACTTGGACCGTGTGGTTGGGAATCTAGTTGCAAAAAGCTTATCCATTCTGCTAAATACAAGATTGAGATGGAACTTTCCTTTTAACTTTTTATGCTACAACCTCAAAATAAAACTTTCTCCGGATTTCCCAAACCTTAAAATTTCATCCACTTTAATGTAAAGTATGTTCCTTCGAAATACGAAAAACATGGGTAAACTGGGCAATGCAAAACGCCATGGTTTAAGGGAAAAAGGATCCTTTTCTTGGACTGTTTTTCAATCTCGGACCAAACATTTATCAGATTAGACTAGAAAATTTTCATCCAAGTAATTAAAATTACATCTTAAATATTAACAAACACGGTGGTTCGATAGTATGACTGTGACACTTAGAAAAAGTAGAATGTGACGGGTCAAAACACATCACACTCTAGAGAAGTAGATGTTGGTGATTGACATACTAGAGTTTTAGAGAGATCCAATAGAGCTTCCCAAATGGAAACTTGCTCAACGACTAGTGTAGCTCAACCAAGGCGTGAAGTGAAATTACATTAAAGAGAAATGCATACCAGCAAGGAAAAAAACTTGGAGCTGGTCTAGAGTAGCTCCAGTTTTCTGATTCGTCCGAGGAATTACAAAGACTATGATGGCGAAGCTTTCGAATAGCAGATTTTTGTAGTGCTTAGAGAAAAAAACAGATTTTTTTTTAGTGCTTAGAGAGAGTAGAGAAGATGGAGTGATGGGCATACGTGGTGTAAGCAGGGTCAAATGCGGAGTAAATAAAAGGAGTATATACGCCGGTGTTTTACTAAAACACGATTTTATGCTGGTGCATGTTTACTACTGACTAATTACCAAGTACTGGTCTTTCAAAACCTTGTCAAAATTTGAGAGGCACCATAAATAATAAAATACTCCCTTCCCTCCGTCCTGTAATTAAGTTCCTATTTTCCTTTTTGGGATGGTCCATATTAAAGTTCCTACTTCAAATCTTACCTTATTTGGCAAATGATTTACACCAAAACAGTGTCAAACAGTGCCAAATAGTGTCAAACAGTGTTTAAACAGTATCAAACAGTGTTCAAACAGTGTACTCCACAGTAAAGTGAAATTTATTTCTTAATATGTGTGAAGTCAAACTATGAACTTAATTAAGAGTCGGAGGGAGGAAAATATACGGAGTATATGTGAATGAGGTTTATGTAAAGAAAAGAGAAATAATACAAATCACAAATTTATTGATTAAAAAAGAAAGTGACTAAGAGCCTGTTTGGTAGCACGAAAATCGACTGATTTGACTGATTCTGTTGAAATTTATGAAGTTCTGGTTGAAGTGGCTGCATTGGCTAATTCAGCTGATTTAAGAATAAATTATTTTTAAAATATATTTTATTAATAAAATAAAGAAAAAATCATACTCCGTATGTAAAAATAACTAAAATGATCATCTACAGTAACTTCAACCAATGCAACCAGAAAAGTAACTTCAACTTTACTTTGTCTGCTTATTACATAATTCAGCGCACGAAAACAAAAGTTATGTGTTTGGTGAAAAAATTGGCTGATAAGCCCGATAAACGGAAAAACAAGTTTCCAAACGGCCTATAAGTTTTAGGGACAATAATAATAATAATATTGAGTGGACTAAGTTTTAGAAATCACAAATTGATTGTCACAAAGTCTTAGGGACAATAATAATAATTATGAAAGTGATTAATAATAAAATAATATATATAGAGGATTATTCCTGTTCGGAAATTCCGGACAGGAGGCCCGTCCGGCCTCCTCCATTTGGGGGCCTTCCCGGTGGTATTTTTTGCGCAAATTTTTTGTGTATGTTCCTCATCAAGTCTAGTTCATCCATACCAAATTTGAGCAAAAAAAATCAATCGGGAAGATCGTCAAATGATTTTTGCAAGTTAACTGGTCCAGAATATGAACTAGACTTGATGAGAAACATACACAAAAAATTTGAGCAAAAAATACCTCTGGGAACCACCTCAAATTGAGGTGGCCGGACCAGGGTCCTGTCCGGAATTTCCGGACAGGAAGAACACTATATATATATATATATATATATATATATATATATATAGAGAGAGAGAGAGTGTCAGACAATAGTCTATTGGTGGTGTCGGCATAGGCGACGACGGCCAGGCGGCAAAGTTGCGACAACAACTCGTAGTCTAGGGGCGGCAAAGTTCCTGCGGCAGAGTTATTTTCGTCCGGACATTTTTTTATCATATTTTTGTCCGGACATCAAAAACGTCAACACTTATTTTTGAAATTCTAACATGTTTTTTAGGGTAAAGTCTTAACATGTTTTAGAGCCCGTTTGATAACACTAAAACTGACTGAATTGGCTGATTCTGCTGAAATTTATGAAGTTCTGGTTGAAGTGGTTGTATTGGCTGATTTTGCTGATTTATGGTAAAATTATATTTAAAATACTCTTATTTGTTACTAATGAATAAAATAAAAGTTACGGAGTATATGAAAAAATAGCTAAAATGATTCTCTACAGTAACTTCAGTCAATACAGCCAGAAAAGTAATTTCAACCTTACTTTTTCTGCTTATTACACAATTCAACGAGTGAAATCAAAAGTTATGTGTTTAATGAAAAACTGGTTGATAAGCCGAAAAATAAGATCACCAAAACGACACTTAATCTTGAGGGAATAATCCCAAAAAATAAAATTTTAGTACCGAGTACAAAATTTAAATTATACTGGTATATAGAAAATAATTAAACTTGTTTTTTGCACTTTCTAAAGTAAGGAAAGCAAAGTTGAAAAATGTCACATATGAATATGTTTGCTTCTTTGGACTTGATCGAACTTAGAAAAAGGATCAACTAACGAACAAGAAGTCGAAATCCATGGGTAATTATGAAAACAAAAATGCTTCTTGTACACACATTTGTACACACCATGTACACACTATAAAAGGATTTTAATTTTTTACCCCGATTCCACATCTTTACCCATTTTCTTCCCACTCCCTTCTCTCACATCCCTCTATTACGCCACACCCCTCTCCTTCTCCATCTCAACCCTTATCCTCTGTTTCTTCTTTTTCATCCCTTTTCATTTCACTTCTTTACTCCCTTTCCAAATTCCAGAAATAAACTTTTAGGTGGTCACCTGTCTTCAAGTCCAAGCTCATCAACGGTGTTTTTGCAGCTGGAATCCGTGAAGAAGGCTTGGATGAGAGGTCGATTTGAGCCGGTCGAACAAGAAGCCCTTGTCAACTAGTCCATAAATTGAGGTAATAACTTATTCGATTTTTCTTTTGCAAAAAATAAAAAACCTATTCGATTTTTCTATTTGCACCTTAGGTTTTTGTTTTTCAATGGACTTTAGGGTTTTGTTTATTTAAAATTTCTGATTATTTGTGTATAATGTATGGTATAACACTGATTAGTTGAATATTTGGTATTATTGTAAGAGAATGTAGTGTTAACTATTGAAATTTTAATTCAATTACTCTATTTCAAATTTATGCTCATAACATGTTTGATGAAATCACTCAATGATTTTTTTTTGTTTAAAGTCAAGACTTTTACTCTCCTTTTTTTTGACTCATTCTTTTTTGTTAATTGGTTCAAGATTCTAGTTTTCTTGTTTTTTAATTTGAATAATGATGTAGATATTTTCATTGACATATTAATACGTTTATTATGCTTTTACTAGTATATTAGTGCAATGTTAGCCTATAAACTTTATTGTACATGGATCAATCCATGTAAGTATGTTAAGGAGGGTGTCTTCAAAGTGGATTTTAATGGAGTTTTAAAGATTGTGGATTTGGTGGAATTTAATGGAGTGCTACGGATTCTATGAGAATTTTATTGGATTTCACTTTGATGGAATTATTTAGATTTTAATGGATTTTAGCACTTGGAGAGTTGTATTTTTTGACATAGCAGGTTACCTCTGCGTTTCATCTCATCTATATCTGCGTTTCATCTTATGAAGTTAATGGAATTGAATAACCAGTAAGGGCATGGAAGAAGAACACGTTGGAATGAGTTTGAGCTTGGGTGGAGGGAAAAAATGGGGGAGGAAAAGGGGGGAGAATATGGCGTAGAAGAGCTGGATGGGGGAGAGGAGAGATGGGGCGTACAACAAAGCTGGGGGAGAGAGGAGAAATGGGGGAAGGGGTAAATGAGAATGAAAGGGGGTAATTATTTTTGGGAGTATATATAGTGGGTATATGGTGGGTTTTAAAATGGGTACAAAGAGCATTTCTCTTATGAAAAATCCATGTAGTTAAAAATTAAATGCAGAGTTTGAATAACTTCAAGAAAAAATGCAGAGTATGAATGAATCCAAAGATGATACGGAGTATGTGCTGTGCGACAGGAGATGGAGTTTTCTGTGTGGTGTTTTTCTATGCTGCCTTGAAGCTCCAAAAATAAGCTGGTTTTATTTATTTATTTTTATTTTTCAGACCTGGCCCCTCAATTAAATCCAATGTCCTCCTTTTGTTAGATCCAGCATTTGATTTCTAAGTCTGGACACGAATTTGGTCCCCTACTCACGACTTAGGGAGTGTTTGCAATAGCTTAAAAAAAAGCATTTCTCAGTTTTTGGCTTAAAAAAGCACTTATTTACCAAACACTTCCAATTTTTACTTTTTCTCGGCTTGCGCGTGAAAAGTGTTTTTCCCTTTTCTATTACACAAAAAACCACTTATTTTACCAAACACTACCAACTTTTACTTTTCAAAATCACTTTTTTCTCAAACACTATCAACTTTTACTACTAATCACTTTTTCATTACATCTCCAAAAGTGCTTTTTTTAAGCAGAAGCAGTTGCAAACACTCCCTTATACTAATCACAAATTCACAACCTTTTCTGTCAATTCAATTTTTTCTTAGGAAAAACTATCAAATAAGCCCTCGTACTATACCGAAAAAGTCAATTAGACCCTCGTACTTTACAAACACTCAATTAAGTCCTCGAACTATTAAAAAACGTTCAATTAAGCCCTTTTGGTCGGTAAGTAACCGGTTTCCCGGTTAAATGTAACCCGTTTCCCGGCAGCCGCCGTTGCTGGGGTTCGAGCTCATCGTCGCCGTCGTCGCCGTTTAACCGGGAAACCGATTACTTACCGACCAAAAGGGCTTAATTGAACGTTTTTTAATAGTTCGAGGACTTAATTGAGTGTTTGTAAAGTACGAGGGCCTAATCGACTTTTTCGACATAGTACGGGGGCTTATTTGATAGTTTTCCCTTTTTCTTATAATTCAGCACTATCACTATATTCATTCATTTTTTTATTGCAATCTTGTTTTTATTACTATAGATAATTTTTTTTGCCGAATTCTTTTTTTTACAAATAATTATGATTTAAAAAGACAAACACTTTGATGCAAAAATAAATATATTTGGAGTTTAAAAAATTTATTCTTATTTCTGACTTATTTTTCAAAAATAAATAACTGAAAGGTGTTAGAAAAATCAAACCATTATATATTAATTTTTATATTTTGATTTGCCTAATAAAAAATTTGGATCTTAAAATCATCCGCAGTTGAAATTTCATTTTTTTTTCAACTTTATAGATAGTATATGTTATACTGGTGTCAAATGAAAGATAATGAAAAGTTATAAATTTTTATATATTTTGTATAAAAATTAGACTAAAAAATGTTATAATAGATTTAAGAAATTTGGGAATTTTCTTTTTCTTGGACCGGTTGTCATTCTCTTCATCGTTTCATCCTCCAGCGTTTCTGCCCAAAGCATTTCCTCTCTCCGGAAGTGAATAAGAGGTGCAGCTACATATTCCATCCCAGGGGTGCCATGAAGCCATTATAAGAATCTTGTGCACATTATATTCTTTGGGTTGCACCAATCATTGAGGTGAATACTTCAAATCAGGGGTTTTCAGTCTTTCACCCCTTGGGTTGCGAACCGCCTTAAGAGGTGATTCAATCCTTAAATCTAGGGGGTGGACAAAGTGGTTCGGTTTAACCGAATAGAGCCATACCAAACTGAATTAAACCGAATGAAATCGTATCATATGTAATTTGATTTGAGTTTAGTAGTAATTTTTCCAAACCGTATTAAATCGAACCGAACCGAAATTGAGAAAACGGAATAAAGCCAAATCAAACTAAATGAATTCAATAAAACATTCATATATTACTCCTTTCATCCCTATATAAAGGGGCTTGTTGAATGGCACACAATTTAATTTAAGAGTAAAACAATACTCACCCTTTCATTGCTCATATTGCTCATATTCAATCTTTTCAGAAAAGCGGGGTTGTGCTCTTTTAATTCCCCTTCCACCGCCCCAAAAAAGGAGGAATATTATTTCCTTTCATGTGTGCAATGTCATCATTAAATTCAAAGTCCCCCCAAAACCAACATTATAAAGGCAACAAGCCAGGCAAGTACTCAAAGATTACAACAATGTTACAAGCCAAAGTGGTAGAAAGTTCAGAGTTACAACATGCTACTCGATCAAAGTACAAGAAGTTGTCTAATGAATATAGAAGAACTATACAAGTTCTTCTTCATCAAAGTGATAGGCAAGATGACAGAAAGATTGGCTATGACAGATTGACAAAAATAGCCAACCAGTTTGGGGTCTCTCGGAAGGCCATATCAAAAATATGGCATCTCCGCATGGAAAACAAGCATATGGACTTCCCCTGAACCTAGATCTCAGGATGCAGGGAAAAGTCGTTATGAAAGCCTAGTCATTGACCTATCAAAAATGATGGATATTCGTCTAAGCCACATAATGAATTTTAGGTCATTTTGTGCAGCTTAAGGACATTCAATCATGTATGCACAAACTCAAACAAAAAGATTAGTTCAAAAGTAACACATCAGCTATCAAGCCTCATCTTACAGACTTGAATAAAACACAAAGGTTGAAATGGATCATTTCTAACCTTGAAGAGGACACAGTAACAAATGCACCACAAAATAAAGGCATGTTTAACTTCGTACATGTGGATAAAAATGGTTTTACATGACAGAGGCATTACATAGGTATTACCTCCATCCGGATGAGGTTGAGCCTCATAGGACATGTATATCAGTCTAAAAGATTCATCACTAAAGTGATGTTTCTGACTTTCTGTGTGCAGTTGTCAAACCAATTATACATGCAAATGGTGTTTTCATTTTTCATGGGAAAAATGGAGTATTCCCATCCAGTACAATGGAACCAGCAAAGAGAAAACATAAAAACATATAAGCTGGCACACTTGACGAGAAAGCTATTGTTTCAGTCACAAAGGATGTTTACAAGGAATGTCTTCTCAATTTTGTATTGCCTACTATCAAAGCTAAGTGACCTATAGGTGTGAGCAGGCATATTTACATACAACATGACGATGTGAGACCCCATATTAGTTCAACTGACATTGACTTCATCAAAGAAGCCATTTTAGATGGATTTAACATTTGAATTAATCTGTCAGCCTCTTAATAGCCCTGATCTAAATGTGTTGGATCTAGGGTTTTTTAGAGCTATTCAGTCACTGCGATATACCACACCTAGGAACTCAATTCATGATCTCCGACTAGGGGTGGATTAGTTTAAACTCAGTTCAATCCTATTGCATTGAATCATGTTTGGTTGACTCTACAGTTGTGTATGAATGAAATTATGAAAGTGAGGGGAGGCAATAACTACAAGGTGCCACATGTAGGAAAAAGTGCACTGGAAGATCAAGGTTACCTACCAATCTCTTTCAAGGCAGACCCAAGTACATTGTTGGAATACTTGACATGTTCAGTCCATTTAAAATTTTTTACATACACAAGGGTGAAAGTATTTTTGTGTTGGTCCCGTTTAATAGGGTAATCAGTCTAGAGGGGGGGGTGAATAGACTGATTGGTTTTTCAAACTTTCTCTAAGTTCAAAATGACTTATCAGAGAATGTCTGATTCTGGTGGCAGAGAAAGGCTGGTTCTGATATCAGAACTGGCCTTGGCAGCGGATTCTGATCTGTCCGGGTAGCCTCAGAAATACTAAGGCAAATGCCTTTCTGATAACTCTGAAAACAAGATCTGCTGAACACAGATTCCAAGTCTTAGAGTTAACAGTTAATATCCTAAGTGTAGAAATGTAAATTGCAGTAAAGTAAATGACACCGGATATTTTTATAGTGGTTCAAGGAACAACTCGTTCCTCTAGTCCACTGTTCCACTAGCTTTGAAGTAGATCGGTTACAAAGCTAATTCCTAGCACTTAAGAAGTTCTCCACGCCTTCTTCAAGCCTAGTTGCCACCCAGGATGCAGTTCCACGTCCTGATGGCTGGCCCTTTCACTCAGCTTCCCGGAAGTATCACCACTTCACTACTGCAGTTACTTGGACGCCCTTCTTTGCAGAAGATGTTCTGAAAACAGAGTTTTCTCCAACTTGCTTCGTTACAAGAGATATGTAGTTGAAGTTCTTGAAGTGTTGAAGAACAGGATGAACTTTGCTCTTGTTGGGGATGAGAGATTGTGAGATTGAATCTTCCCAACGTAAGCTTTTTCTTGTTTTTTGTGTTGCGGAGTTTGAATCTCAAGAGAGCTTGAAAATTTAATTTGATGAGCAAAAGTTGTAACCCCGGTTGTATCCCTGTTCTTCGGTGAGTAGCTTATATACTGGGGTTGTCTGCCCGTTGGAGGAGGAGACAACTGCATTAAATGCGCGTACAGTTGACTTGACCGCCGTTTTGGAAGGTTTCTATTTCTATAATATATCTTCCCGGATTCTTTGGTCAATCATTTGCAATCAATCCTTCAGCGTATCAGGCTCATTTAATGTGCATTAAATGCTTTCCTTTCATGCACAGTCTTCTAGCCGTTGGATGTTTTACCCGTTGGATTCATAGCTGTTGGATGTTGCTTGAAATCTTCTAAGTGTTAGTCGGGCTCTGATCAGGCTCTTCTGATGTGTTGGATTCTGATGGCTTTCTGATGAGTTGAGTTCTGATGGCTTTCTGATCTCGGATAGAGCTCTAACTCTGACTCTGATATGTCCGCTGATGAGTACCTTTGATTTGTAGTTCTCATCGGTTATCAGATGTCCAAGTTTATCAGCAACTCTCATGGTGCAACTCTGATGGACTTCTGCTAAGAGAACTCTGATGGAGCAGTTCTCATAGAGCAAGTCTGGTTGAGCAGTTCTGATGCACTTCTGATCTGATCCAAAATAGAGCAACTCTGATCGTCGACTACACTAATACTTACAATTGAAAAATTCTAATACATAAAATCTAATTTGGGGGTAATCTAACTTTCTAATCCTATAGCATCATCAAAATCTAATTACATTTATTCCTTACATTTTGGGTAGTAAACATGAAAAGTATTCACATTTTTTTCTTTTTGGAATACTTGAAATGTTGAGGCCATAGCTTTTTTGGATAGATTATTTGGAAAACAAGGGAAGATATGTTATTTTGGATATGCCATTTTGGATAAGCATTTCTGGATACCTACACTAATGTCATTAATGCAACCTTTAAATTTGTGTTTTGATTGTATACAATGCTTGTCACACATCCCCATGGTCTCAGTAGGGCTGAAGCCACATAGGAAGCACACATCACCATCACGGACCATTAACAGCCATCACAAAACCATACACATGCATTTCATCATTGAAGACATTCACATCACAAACCCCCATGATCTCCTAGGGTTTTCCATGGTGACTCATTATGACTAGAAGCAACTCCATTTACATCACACTCACCATTATGCACACTCACTATTATGCGCAATTGCGCACATCATTGACCCCAGACAAGCAAACAAACAATGATGATTATGTAAACACTGGCTTAAAATAGATCGTAATATAGTGGTGTAAGTACGAGTATCGTCTCCACAGGGACGGACAAAAGGGAATCAAGAATTAATTAAATTCAGCGATAACAATAAATAAAATAAAAGCGTCGTGCGAGATCTGATTGATATGAAAATTAAACTAATGCGAATAAAACGATTAAATTAGGGGGTTCTTTCTAATTAATGACGAAGGGAACAGAGATTGATTCCGGGGTAACCAGATTTCTGGCAGATCGGGCCTAATTACATGAAATTAATTCAATTGAGCCTAGCTAATCATTACTAAGTTCTTACCGCTCTCGCGGCGTAGAGTACAATAATTTAGGGGACCAGGCTCATCTCTCATGCGACATGATCCTAAATTATTGTCAAGACGAGCGAGCTTACGACCTCTTAATCGCTACTAATCTCTTTGCGAACGATTAAGTGTGTGTGAAGGTGTCCTAGAATAAACTAGATCTCTCTTAATTTATTCTACAAGCAATTGTAATTCTAGCGCGCGTTGTAGGTTACAAAAGATATCAGTTAAATTATTCAAACACAAATTAAACGGCATTCATGCAATTAATCCATCAAGAAACTAGCCATACATCATGATCAACCCCTTCATCAATCTCAATCCCTAATTAAACTACTCACAATTCATAATTGAAGAATCAATAGGATTGGAATAAAAAGAATTAATTGTCATTAATTAAAAAGGCGGAACTTACAAAGAATACCAAAAGATTGATGAACAGGGCTGAAAAGCCCTCTAAAATTCGTGCTAGACACTCTCTCTAAGCTCCCCCTTGAAAACGGGGGTTTACAGGCTGTTTAAATAGAAAAATCAGGTGAAATTTGAGCTGAATTAAGATTTTCGAAGCCAGGCACGTTGCCAGGCACGATCGTGCCTTCGATCGTGCCTCCGGAGCAAAAACGCGCATTTTGGGCAGGAACGATCGTGCCTCCCTCCAGGCACGATCGTGCCTGGCTGGCATTAACTCCGCGGTGATTTTCTCTTCACGCACGATCGTGCCTGACTTTGAGGGCACGATCGTGCCTACTTAACTTCCGAATTTGACAAAACTTCCTTCATGAAAGTTGTAGATAATGAAGTCCTATATTCACCCCAATTTTCTGAATGTGATTTGAGTCATCCAATCAAGAGCTATGATCAAAACGGTGGAAGGTATCATTCTGAAATCGCAGCAGAGAGCATCTGACTTCATCGTCTGTTTTAACCTTCTTCCTCTCAGATTCTCGCAAAGGTGTCTTCATATCATTTGTATCCCTTGAAGTTAGCTTTGATATGGAACTTGAATCGTGTACATGGGATGTTTCTACAAAGCGATATGCTTGAACGATTGACAGAAGGTCATCCTGGTCGTCGTTTTCAAGCTTCATTCATCTTATTTTGACCCCGTAGCCAATCTTAGAGCTCTTTTTCCTTCAAATCTTCATCGTGAATCTTCTGGTGACCTCCAAAGCTATCAAATCATTCTCAAATGCTTCTCAAATCATACCCATTGTTCCTCAAGTGCCGGTACCGGGCTCAAATTCCCTGATTTTGACTACAAACAACACAAAACTCGAACCAACGCCCGGTAAACATAACTTGAGCTAAAATTGAGACTTGTAACACCTTAAAGATAGGAAAATCATCAAAAGTCTATCTCAACACACATCAAATGCGTGTCAAAATACAGACTTATCAGTACAGTAAAGGGAGCATGAACTGGTTCAGGATCATGAATAACGGGCCCAGTATTAGCCAACTCGGAGTCCTCCGTGCATGGCGGTTCTGAAAAAGAGAACTCGTTCTCATGAAACTGGACATCCCGTGACACAAATAATTCTCCTATGATCCAGTCATATAGCTTCCAGCCCTTCTGACCATGAGGGTATCCCACGAAAACACAACGTCTAATTCGTGGAGAAAATTTATTCCCTTTATATTTAACATTATGTGCGAAGCAAAGACATCCAAAGACACGCAAATGTGAGAAATCAGGTGTTTTACCTGTGAGCATTTCATAAGGAGTTTTTCCTTCCAATAATCCGGATGGTGTCCGATTGATGAGATGAACCGCTGCCAGCACACATTCACCCCACAACCGAATGGGAAGATTAGCTTGAAACATCAAAGCCCGGGCAACATTCAAAATATGATGATGTTTCCGCTCCACTCTCCCATTCTGTTGAGGTGTATGAACACATGATGTTTGGAACAAAATCCCATGCATGTCAAAATGTGGTATCATGCACCGAAATTCTGTTCCATTGTCACTGCGCACTATTTTAACAGACACATTGAATTGTGTTTCGACCATAACCAGATAAGTCATAAAATATTTATGAACCTCCTTCTTATCACGAAGCAAATAAACCCATACAGCCCGAGAATAGTCATCAACCAAAGTAAGAAAATAAACTGCATCACAAGTTGACGGGGTCTGATAGGGCCCCCACAAATCACAATGAATTAATTCAAGAATTCGACTAGCTTTATTAGTACTCAGAGGAAAAGAATCACGAACAAGTTTGGCCTGTGGACACACCTCACAGGCTTTATTCAATCTTTTATGAGAAGTACTAGAAATAATATTAGGTAATAACTTTAACACCCGGTCCGAGGGATGACCTAACCGACGATGCCACAAGTCAAACTCCAATAATGATGAAGAAGCTTGTACAGCATGCAACGCAGGCACCCCCCTGAAATAAAACAGCCCATCTCGTCTTTCACCGGCTCCAATCGGGTTCCTCGAGTGTAGGTCCTGTATAGCACATAATCTATTAGTAAAAGTGACAAGACAAGATGACTGATCAGTCAACTGAGACACAGATATAAGGTGACAAGTAAGGCCCGGTACATAAAGTACACGGTCCAGTACAAGATTTTGAGAAAAAGGGACACGGCCCTGTAAAATAGCGGCAACCGTCCTGCCATCAGGAAGGCCAACCCGACATGCCGTAATGTGTGTGGGATCAACAAGGCAATTAAAATCACCCGTGACATGTTGAGATGCCCCGGTGTCAATAATCCAATCACATGAAGTATTCTTACCCGTCATCCGATCACAAGAGCGAGTGTCAGCATTAATTAAGTTTAAGAGAGCCTGAACCTGTTCGCTGCTCAACGCAGCCAGAGCATTCAGACCACCACTAGAGAGGTCGCACCACCATCACCTACAGATTGCAAATTTGGTGATATGGCGTGGGTGCGTACCCCCCTCCACGACTGCCTGTTGATCCGTCGGCTGCACCTTTGTTTTTACTTCGTTCCTCCCACCAATCGGGATAACCGTGTAACTTGAAACACGAAGTAATTTCATGTCCCTTCTGTTTGCAATGAGCACAAGTGGGCCTGGTTCTTTCTGTTGTATCCTGCCTTCCTTTATCGACCCGGTCAGCTTGGAGTGCGAATGCCTGCACGTCCGTTGCAGCAGCAACCTTCCCACGTGCAATTGCCCGGGAATTTTCCTCTTGAAGAAAGGCTTGGTGAGCACGGTTCAAGTCGGGCAACGGTGTTTGAGACAACAAATTGGAGCGTACTGTTCCAAACACTTCGTCATCAATTCCGATAAGAAATTGATGAAACTGCTCTTCATCCCGATCATCGGCGAATTTTTTCGCCAGGCCGCAGGTGCACCTGCCGCAGGTACAGGCGTGCAACGACTTCAGTCTATTGAGCTCATCATACAAGCTCATCAAGGTCGTGTAGTAGCTATCAACGTTCATTGTTTTGGACTGCTTACAATATGTAATGGACGCTCTCAATTGCTGAAGCCGGGGTCCATTCGCGACGTTATACCGCTTCTCCAAGTAGACCCACAACAAACGGGCCTCTTCATGGTAAGGTATGGATGCCGCCACCGCCGGTTCCATGCTTCGCAAAATCCACGAAACAACCATAGAGTTGGCGGTTTCCCAATTCGATTTCTGTGTTGCTTCTTCGGGTTCACGAAGTGTTCCATCAACGAAGACATACTTGCGGCGCGCCTTCAACGACAAGGAGAATGCGCGTGACCATGCCACATAATTATCCCCCTTGAAGATAACGTGTGTAATGAGGTTACCGGGTTGATCGCCGGAACTCAAATAGTATGGTGATGTTGGGTCTGCCATGGCTGCCGGCACTTCACACGCTGGTGTGGTTATCGGCAGTAGCAGTTGATTACGCAGCCCTTCTTAGGGGCTCTGATACCATACTATGAAATTGTTATTGATTAGGGTAAAAAGTTGTGTTGTTTAATACAAGGGCCCTGCTTTATATAAATATACACACAGGGCTAAACTAATACAACAAAACTAAGCCCTCAGCCCACTAATTAATATACATACGGGCCTAACAATACATGATTCATGGAAAAGAAACTCTTGCATCTTTTTTAGTTTTTTATTTTATTTTATTTTTTATGCATCTTTTTTAGCTTCGTTGTCTCATTTAGACATGTATTCTTGGATCTCAAAATCATGGCTGTGAAAGATGTTGGATCAGCTAAGTTTACGATTTACTTTTCTTATTATTATTACATTATTATTCTTGTTATTATAAGTATTTACTTTAACATAATTAATATTTTGAACCTTATTTTTTTTAATTTCAGGGAAAATCAATACTGAAAGCTAGGAACAAATGGCAGGGTGTTGTCATGAAAAAAATATTATAGACACAATACTGACCAGCACAATAAGGTAAGGAATTACATTTTTTTTATTGATACAATTTCCTCTTTCTAATCTAATGTATTTTATATTTATAGGTACATGAGAACTTGTGTGACAAAGTGATCAGGTAAATGTAATTGTGCTACGTTACTCTGGATCACTATAGTAATATTTTATTGATTATAGTTTTATATTCTTTTTTTTTTGTGATTCATTTTATTTACTGTTGTTATGTTTAATTGGTTTTCTTGTTATGTCTCTTGCAGAGAAATGCTAGAAAGATTATGATGCACAGAATCATGGTGCCATATACTGGGGTGATTCAATGATTGAGAGTCTTTCTCTTCAGCACAAAGACTTTTAAGATATATTTTAGTTAATTTCTAGCCACTGTAAATTTATTTTATTACTGTTGATTATTCCTTTAAGATGTAATGTTGATGACTTGATGGTGATAAATTTCAACTTTCCTTAAAGGAAAAAATTGTAATGCCTATGCAACTATGCTAATATTTATATACTTTTAATTGTACATTGAAATGCAAGTCAAAGTCTTAGTTAAAAAGTTACTCCGTATTAAATAGTTACATGTAAAAAGTGAGAGGTATCACAATCAACTAAAATAATACTCCGGAAGTAATGCATATTATAAAATACGGGTGAAATCATTAATTGATATCCATTAATGTTGCAAAAAGATATTATAAATATGTTACATAAATATAAGATTGATGTTGCCTAAAGTCATATTTTAAGTGTTGCATATTATTAAAAAAAGTGTTGCATAAGATGCAAACTAAGCTCTTGTAAAAAAGTGTTGCATATGGTTTGTTTCTGTAACATCTTTTCTCAATGTTACATAAAATGTTAAAAAGTGTAGCATATGACTTTATGCAACGAGACCTGAAGCAACGCTCATAAAAGTGTTGTTTAAGCTTTTTGTAACATTTTATCCATCTAATGTAACAATATAGCTGCGTTACAAAAGGCTCGTTTTGTTCTAGTGGAGATTTTAATTAAATGAAGAATTGAAACAAGGCAGTGGAGACGATGGCTTTAGGGAGATGAATATACATTTACGTTAAAATCATTTACTTCTAAGTTAAGAGGTTTGGAAGAATTGAAACTCATAATTGGGTTATGGAAATGAACGGCAGTGGAGACGATGGCTTTAGGGAGATGAATCACGTTGATTGGAGATGAAGGGAGTGGAGACGAATAGACGATAAGTTTAGAGAGAAGGCAGTGATGATATGATAGGAGAGATAGGGTTCTGGGAGATTAATTATGGAGTATCCGATTGAATATACAGAGTAGAATGGTGTCGGACTGAAGAAAGAATGGATATATTAGTAATTTCATATTTAAAGGGTGGATACATTTGTCATTACACTTATTCTTAGCCTTCCTAATAAGGAATGATACATTTAAATGAGGACAACACAATATGGTAAAATGAGACGTTTAAAAGGAGACGGATGGATTATATAAAGTAAAATGAAAAAATTGAAGTTTCAACTTATGAAAGATTTCAAACCTAAAATTTTTCCTAAATAGATTCAAGTGCCAAAATTAAGATTTCAGAATTAAATTATTTTTTTCATCTTTCAAATATTTTTATTTTAAAATAGCTCTGAAATAACAAAATTAAAATTAAACTTCAAAGTTATTTACGAAAAAAGGAAAGAAATGATGTATAATCGTAAATGTAAGATTTTAATTAAAAAACAAGGAATAAATATATTGACGATGCTGGGTTGCAATAAAAGTAAGAATGTATACATTTAATTTTTTTAAAAATGTGGTGGATGAATATATTGACGATGCTAGACTGTAGGGAAATATGATTTGACTGAATGAATATGTATAAAGAGTGAAATTTGATTTATTAACTACTAAAAAGCAAAAACAAACCATCATAGTTCAATTTATAAGCACTATTGCCAATGTTGCAATGATACACTTTATAATTTCAATGATACAATGATTAGAGGTAATAGTATTGTCAGCGCACAAAGGATTCATTCATATTGGTAAAACTATTGTTTTCATTTTCGTTTGGCAAGTATAGCTGTATTGATCAACAGTCCCCCTACCTAGCTACTAGCCACCTGGTGTTTGAGTTGACCCGTCGCCACCCACGGGCACCATCATATCCGTCCATCTATCTGATGATCCATCGACTTTTAGCCAGTCGTCTCCCACTACTACCGACCCCTGCCCTGCTTCTGATCATCATCATCATCATATGCGCGCTCGCCACCAAAGCTGACACAACAGTTCTGATGATTCTGATCTCCCCCTCCGATCCTCCACTCACCCAAACCCTAAACTCCAACTGCTAAATCAAAGATAAAAACATATAAACTCCACTCCGTATTATTGTTGAAGATCGAGAAGAGGAAGAGGAAAGATGATAGGCAGGATCTGGCTCTTCAAATGATCCAGTAAGAAGAAGTAAATTACGGCTGGCCAGGACTTACGTACTTACGTACTCTTCATTATTATAATATATTCCTGTTAGCTGGCTATAGCTTAGCTTCATCAGGCGTGCCTGCGATTCTGCGAAAGCTTCTTCATCACTTATCCATCCATCCGTCGATCACTACAGGTACGCGCGTACCAGCAACTAACCTTTTTTTTTTCAGGTCAGGCGTATACATACGGAATATAATGAGTATGCTGCATACTTGGTATATATAATACGGAGTACTGATTAGTATATACGCGTAATACGATTTATGATTACTTCATGAAAGAACACGCTTACAAAATGTTATAGAAACTTCATCGGAAGAATCTCAAATGAAGGCAGCTTGATGACGGATCTGATCAGATCGGTTTGAATAGGTGATGGTTATTAATAAGGATGACAATGGGGTGGGGGCCGTGGGGGGAGTTTGGGCGGGGCGGGTAAGGGGAGGGAGTTGGGGCGGGGCAGGCTATGGGGATGGAAAATTATTTCCTCCCCGTTTAAATATGGGGCGGGTGACGGGTTAATTATGCACCCTGCACCGTCTCCGCCCCGTCTCCGTATATATACACATATAAATAATTAATAATAATTAATAATAATAATCACAACAATAATACTAATAATAATACTATGTAAAGTGCCTAATGGATCTATGTAATTCTTGTTTAATAATTCAGTTATCTTGTAAAATTGCTTATAAAAATCATAAAGTAAAATGAATTTTTTTGGGTGATAAAGTGAAATGATTTTACGAAAGTTATAAAGTGATATTAGCTTAGCTTAAACGCATTAGGCACAGTGTGAATGTTTTCTTCTTTTAGTATTACAGTGCATTAATTAATTCTCTTCTTATGCATGTCATCTTTATGATTATAGATATGGCTCTAAAATATCTGGTGACCATAGGTCGTCCTAGATGCTCTCAAATGACCATGGTTGATTGAATGCAGGGATTAAATGACCATGGTTGATTGAATGCAGGGATTAAGAAAATATTATAGAGCTAATCAATGCTAATAAAGTGTTTGATAAAATGACTAAATCAAAACGCGTATAATGTGTTCTAGATGTGAAATGACATGCAAAATTACATTGACATTTAAAAACTAAAAGGTTTTTTGGCTACTAAAAGTGTTGTTTAAATTTTGAAACACTATCGGAGTCTAATATAGTGTTAATTTTTTACGAATATTTCCTCCATTGGGTACCCGTGAGTCTAGTGGGCAGGACTGAGATGAGGCAGATTGAATAGTAGTGGGGGATGGGGTGGGGGCGATTTTTTAGACATGGGGAGGAGATTGTGGAGTGAACCCCCGCCCCAACCCCGCCTCATTGACATTTCTAGTTATTAAGAAATGAATTTATTTGGTTGATATAGAATTCATAAAGTACTAATAATATAAGAATGACTTATAGCCACCAAAACTTTACCAAATTTGTACTCCCTCCGGTTTTTATTAAACTTCACACTTTCCTTTTCGTGACGGTCTAAAATAAACTTCACACTTCCTTATTTCCTTTTTTGGCAAAGAAATCTACATCAAAATAGTGCCAAACAGTGTCAAACAGTGTCTCAACAGTGCCAAACAGTGTCAAACAGTGTCTCAACAGTGTACTCTATAGTAAAGTCAAATTTTTTTCCTTATTTTGTGTGAAGTCAAAGTGTGAAGTTTAATAAAAACCGGAGGTAGTATGAAACGATTTTAATGGGATTTCTGAAAACAAAAAAATACAATCATAGCGGGACGGAGAGTGTATATATACTCATTTTTGCTAAAATGTTTTAATTATATTCTAATTTGAAGCTTGCAACTTTAGAGATATTTTTATCTAATTTTTGAATATGTAAATTTTAATTATTAAAATTTGATTTAATTATCAATAAAGGGTATAACTTTAATACTGATTGACTAGAAATATTGACTTTGTAGATCAATTTGGTACAAATAGAGTAATCAACATATATTGTTTACTTCTTGTTATTTCCTTCCTCCCTTTGGATATTGTCAAATTAAATTAGAGTCAAGTGTGTAATATTAAAAGTAAAACATTGTGTTATTGAGAGTTGTGCACAGTAAAGAGAAATAAATACAACGACAAACTATTTACTTGAAATAGAAAGTTATAGGAAAATTTGAAAATAATAATACCAACTATTTCTGGTCCGTCGACAATAATCCTAACTATTGATTATTTTTGTATAATTCCAACTATATAGACCATCTGCCAATAATGATCCATGATCAGATATTACCTCATATAATAAATGAATTTTAATAGAAATTAAGCGTAAAAATTAAAGGTTGAGATTATTTATAGGGATTACTTGCTATATCTCTTCTCATCCACTTTAGAAGCTACAAGAATTTATTTATAGGGATCATTATTGGCGTAATGTCCCTAAAGTTGGGATTATTCTGAAATAATTGATAGTTGGGATTATTATAAGTGGACGGCCAATAATTAGGATTATTACTATCAATTTTTCCAAAGTTATATATGAAGTAGTTTGTTTTTAATTTTATGTGTCCTGTTTCGGTTTACTACAATTACAAATAAAGTAATAAAAAAAGTAAAACTTTGGTTGATGTTTGAGTTTACTAATTTGAATCATACGGAGTATAATTTTTTCGGAAAAACAAATAAATATAACACTTATTATGTAATAATCGAAGAAAGAAATTAAAACAGGTAAAATATGAGAGAAGAAGTGTTAGGTTACTTACGATGAGCTCTTGTTTATTTTTATAAGAGATATTACCCGAAATAGGACTAAAAAGGTTTGAAAATTTCAAAATAGGACTGTCATGTTTTTATTCCCAAAATAGGACTAATTACTGTCATGTTTTGGCAGTACCAGACTTCAAACATGGCATTATTTTTCAAACTTGACAGTAATTACTCCTATTTTGGGAATAAAAAACATGTCAGTCCTATTTTGGAATTATCAAACTGTTTTAGTCCTATTTCGGGAACTTTCCCTTTTTATAAACGTGTCTGTTCAGGTATTCTTTTTTTTTTTTTAGTTTTAATAGCCGCTCGGTTTAT